CGAGAAATGGAATTGTTCTCATTAGAGATACAAGACCTGCTAATTATCTCCAACGCTCTTCTCAGAATTAAGAAGTAATAAGGAAGAGGCCTCTCTAAAACGAGTAACAGTGTCCGGGTTCATACAGAAGCCGTAAATAAGAAAAATGAAACCAAAAAGCGAGAAACATGACGAACTCTCAGAAAACCTCTTGTCACTGGAAGCTGAAGAGCAAAAGCAGCGCCTCGGCCAGGTGGACGACAAAAGCCCCCGAACCCTACGGTCGGTGAAAGCCAACGAGATAAATAACTTCTCCGGCGCGCCCCGGCCCATTTATGGAAGAACCAAAGACTCCCACGAGCCTGCTCTGCAAAGCAGCCTTCGTCTCTAGACCCGGAACACCGCTAATACCTGCTCCTGCCATCTGATTTTATTTCAGAATTTTAAGTCTTAGATTCCAAGAAAGTCCTACCCAGGGACCAATATAAATATATATATATATATATATAAAAGGAAGCGCCTGTGAGCATGGACTATTTCCAGTCACCCTCTAAATAAAGAAGAGATAAGCCGGCCTGCACAGCCGCAGCCACAGCCCGTGGACGGTGGGGAGTCCGGGCTAAGCCCCCCCACGGCTGAACGTAGACATCGATTTATTACCTAGTTGTGTTTGAGTTTTATATGCCTTAAATTTTATTAGGCCAGGAGCGGGGCCAACAGAGATAAGGTCGAGCAAAAAGGGAACCATCACCTCGGAGATTTCATCTCTAGGCTCCTTTTATGAGCGACCCGCGTGTCCAATTTTGATCTCCAAGGGATGTCACAGTAATAAACCCAAACTAACTCTCCTCCCCACGCCCGCACGCCCTACGCTACCTTGGTAAAATGCAGAATTGGTTCATTACGGGTCCTCCCAGAGACCACGAGCCCAGCCATTCTCCCCGAGGGACCGCCAACGAGAGATACGGCAGAGAAAGATGCAAGAGTCACATGCACTTTGCCGCACGCTGGTCCTTTCTTCGGAAAATCGGTCTGCTCAGAAAGAAAGGGCACAAAACGCAGCCCGGCCCCGGGAGCCGAGGCTTCCCACGGCCTGCGATCTGCGGACATGTGGGGAGTCATAATATCGACGAGCAGCATGGATGACCGCAGGTCCGCCCCACCCCGCTCCTCGGACGTCCCCAGCCATCTAAGGGATAACGACGAACCTCACGTGCGAGAGGGCAGGGCCCTGCCTGGCACGCCGAGCCGCCAGGCACATGAAAGACGCAATGTCCGCTGGATTGAACCGTGGGATCCCTTCCTGAAGCCTCAATTATCTATTGTATTACCGCCTTCCTATTACTCAGCAGCCTCTTCCGTCCCGGACTCGAGTCCAGCTACGGTGTTTGTTCTGAACCAATTTAGAGAGAATTCCCAACAAACCAGATCACAGAGGACTCGGTTACATGGGGAGAGACAGCTATATAAATAGAAGTCCCCTAGGCTGGAAAATATTTCAGTTGTCGGCTACCTTTCAGGAGCGTGGGGACAGCTGTGTCCAGTTTTTACACACGCACGCTTTCAGCCCCCCACGTGCAACCTTCATCGGTTCCGAAAACGCACTGTCCCACCTAAGTGGTCTCCTTTCTCGGATGACATGTCACGAACAGTCAAGGTCACCTCCAGTTCTTAATTTCTGAACATTCGTAAATCAGCTTTCTCCACTCCGGTCGTAAACGCTTATTTGTTTTTGGATGATGGGAAGACCAGTTTTTCCTAAGGGCGTCCTAGTGTATGAGACGAAATAGTTAACAAAACATCCTAAGTTTTCAAATGAATGGCTGTGTGCCTAAGACGCCGCTGTCAATTCCGTTTTTTTAATTAGACAAATTCGGAGCTTGACGTCGAGAAGGCATGACGACGGGCCGATGGAATAGAATTTTCACTTTTTAACTGGTCGCCTGACATCATGAATAAGGCAGCTAATAATTCAAACTCAGAACTGCCCCAAACACGGAATACTAATGACTAAAATAAATATGATAAACGCTCCTTGTCAGAATGATGTTTGTGACCTTCCCTGGAGACTGCACGTTGGTTATGTTTTTTTCATTTTCATGTGTAGAAACAGCACTTGAATTTCATGAATCATGGGAAGGAGGGCAATTCCTGGAGGTTCAGTTTTATTCAGCGCTCTACAGTCTACCACCAACCACCCTCCGCTTCCACTTCTGTGCTATTTTCCTCTCCATCTGCCTTGGCCGGGCCTCAAATTTTAAAGAGATCCGACGGGGGGGAAAAAAGCAAACTTATTTTTACAAATGGATTTGTTAAAGAAAAAAAAGTGACTATGATCTAGGATTGGATTGGATCCCTCTTGAGGACAAATACGTAGTCTTTCTGAATAGCTTCCATCAAGCACCTAGCCCTCCACTCCAAGTAGAGGAGGCTTCCAGAAATACTTGCTAGTCAGGGGGATGTAGAGGGAAAAGCGTCAGGCCGCACGCCCCCTGAAGGCAGGCTAGGACTTCTCCTCAACAGCCTCTCATCGCCCAGAAGCTGGATCAAAGCTTGCTGGAGAGAGGAGTTTGTCAAGAGCCTAATCTCAAAACAAAGAAGCCAACAAACCTCTCCCTTCTCCCCTGCAGCAACAACCAGGCGGAGACTAATACCGGTAAGATGATCAAATATATTAAACCCCCGTTTTGTTGGAAGAAGAAAAGGCCAATATTGGGATGGACAACAGGGGAGAAAAACAAGGAATAAAATTAGGCTTAAAAAAAACCAAAACAAAACAAAATAAAACAAACAGCTGACGGGCTGGGCGCAGACGAGGGTCGCCGGTGTGCCACGGGCAACAGAGTCCCGGCACTCCGTTTTGGACATCTGCATTTCCAAAATATACGTCGAAATTAAAATTCAAAACCCTCCCTGCAGCATCCCCCCCTCTCCGAATAATGCCGATCACACTTCTCTGTAAAATCTCCCTGGTTCTGGCCAACAGCTGGCACGTTGATCCCTGCAATTTTCCCTCTGCAGAAACAGCTCCGTGAGGGGAGAAGCGACTCAGATCAGCCCACGCCGCCAAACCCGGAGGGGCCGAGACGTGAGGGACATTGGCTAAGGACCTCACAACTGTTCCTTCTCGTCTTGACACAGCCTGACTTCCTTAAAGGAGATTTGACTGGCCAGACAGCTGTGTTGACCCTTAAGCCTCCTTTGATTCGTGATTTTTTTTTTTTTTTTTTTAACAAACAGAATAGAAATTCACAACCCAAATCCTCTCCTAAGCTCCCATACTTTTGAGTTTGCTAGCGCTGCGCCTGAAGATGTGGACATTCCGGTAACCTATAAGCAGAAAGATAAAGATTGGGTCGACACAATCCCAAAACCTTCTGATGAGAAGCAAGAGAGAAAAAAAAGGCAAGCCATCAACCAACGGCTTTATCCACAGGTGAGACTTGGCGTTGTGTGGGCAAAAGCTACTGAATTACTTAAAAATTGCGACTTTCACTCAGACACTGTAGCAACAAACAATCAAGAACAGATCCAGGCCTATCTCAAGAAAAAAACGTTACCCACAATCACCGCTTTGGGAAGCGGTCATGCGTTTTTCACTTCTATTTTTTCTGTATTGTCCGGCTCATCCCAACTCAAACATGGATTTTTATTTGGTGCTGAAAAATGTAAAGTTATCTTTTCAAAGCAAATAAAACGTGCCCAGTACTCTATCCACCTGGGGGTAACTTCAAGTATATTATGTCAAAGCGGTATGGAGCAGCAGAAGAATATTTTGTGTGTGGTCACTGGGTCTAAGAGCTTCGTCAGTTTTCAGGAAAGCTGACAGCCCAGGGAACAGAGAAAGAAGACATTTCTGTTCTTTCTCGGCGCTTTTGGTGGCGTGGAGAGGTCCGCACAATCTCTCTCACGGTGTGTTTTTAATAACGGGGGAGGAGCGCTTTGCCACACACTCGCCCTCCCTTGATTGTCCTCACATGCTGTCCCTTTTATTCGCGGTGACGAATGCACAAGTCTCCCGCGCCCACTCGGTCACACAGACCAGTCCCCGACATGGGCCCCGCCTCGGCCGCTCTTCTCCCTTCAATGCCCTCGGGGCTCTGCGAAGTCTGGGTCCCTGTTAATGCGCCATCTGACAGGGAAAGCGGTCCCCTCGCCTCGGCTCCTGGAAGCAGCCCCAGGCCTGCCCGGCGACCAACCGGGAACCCTAACCCACCTCGGCCTCGCCCCGGCTTCGCTTCGGCATCGCAGAAATCTAGATACGATGTAATCCACTTGGTGAAATACCTGCCTCCTATCTTTCCCGAAACCCCGCGTTCGGGTCCGCAGGAGGGGCCTGCGCTGGCTGGCGTGGCAGGAACACGCGGCCGGGAGCGAGGTGGAGAAAGGCGGCGCGGGATGCGGGATGCGGGGCAGGCCCCGACCGCTGCCTGCCTGACGGCCCTGCGTCCGAGGGATTTGGACAAACCGGGGCGGGGGGCGAATGCGGCGAGAGGAAAGGCAAACGGGTGTGCGCCCGGAGCTCGGAGGGGCCGCAGCGCCGTTCCTGAGCCCGATCTGTCGCATCCCCGGCGGACAAAGCCTAGCGGGAGACGGGCGCACAGGGGGCCGACGCCGTGGGGTCGGGAGAGCCTCGCCGCACGCACGGCATCGGCGCGCGGGGAGCGCGCGTTCGTGGGGAAGGCGACGTGGGAAGCGGCGACAGGCCCCTGGGCAGCCGCAGGGTACCCCACGGAACGGGGAAAAGCTTGACGGGGTCGAAGCCCCCACAGAGGCGCGTCCTCTTGGAATGGCCGAGTGGGGGGAAGAGGTTTCGGGGACCGAAAACTAGGGGAGCCCTCGCCGGACCGTCCGCGCGCCGGCCGCGGGCACAGCGCGG